TCCGACTGTGAGGCAACCAATAGTCGATTCCAATTTCCCTTAAGAATTATGATAGCGATACTGATCATTCCTCCATGGATTAAGAATTCGTATTTTTCAGCCCTCGGACACTGCTATCTCCCGCGAAAAAAGTGAACACTTCTCCGAATTTCTGGATAAGTGGCAATACTCTCTGAAAAAAAAATGAGTAGTTCCAATGCACGGGGAAAACCTTGACATCTGGCGATGCACTGCCACCATCCCGCCCCACTCATCTCTGTTGCTGAAATATATTTGATTGAAATCTTTTACAGTAATTTGGAGAAAAATTAGTTTATAATATTCATCTCATATTATAATTATTAATGATTTACATAGTTGTATCAGCAAATGTAAAAAAAAAATTAATATATTTTCCAGTTTGATATATATTTCAAAGAATATTTTTCAATCTCAACTGAGAAAACTTGATTTTAAGAGTTACATGAAAATATTTTATTTATTTTTTTTATAAACAAAAAAGATCACATATAAAAGAAATAATGTCATTTTATGTTAAATTTCAGTTTTACCCCATAGTGGAATGTTTTCACTACCATCAATATTTATTGTTTGTTTGATATCATCAGCAATCTTATCTACTAATGCATGATGAATTTTATTATCGTCATAGATAATTGATGCAAGTTTGATTTCATCGAGCATAATTTTAATAAGTTCACAAAAACGTTTTGCTGATTCAAAATATCCATATCGATATACCATATATTTCCACATCACTTCAACATATACATTTTGACTTCCAAATAAACGAAAAGTACCCGTTAATAGACTATCTCGTTTTATATTATGATCTTCAGTTACAGCAAAACAATTTGAAGAAAAACTTAATACCATAAGCATAAGTTTAATAAGTGTTTCATCAGGATCAAGTCTCATTGTAATCGATTTTACATATTCAACATCATCAGATGTATAAAGTGGTCTCATTATACTTTTACTAGCTGTATTATGAAATAGATTACATTGATAACATATAACCATACAATAAAATGCCCAAATACCACGCATATTGCGTTGAATAAGAGACCATTGCTCATCCGTTGTCATTATTCGAAAATCAGCTGTTGAACTAATAGATAATTGAATTGATTGACAAATTATACTAACAATATTTAATGATTGTTGAAAATTATAATTACGATCTACTGAAGTTTG